AAAAAAAAACAGACAGTTTCGGTTGGCCATGACACAGGATAGGACTCAGACTTACCCTTGACTTTGACAGTGAACGTTTTTGTGACTTCACCGAATTCGCCTGACAACTTCACTGTGTACACTCCAGAATCAGCTTTTGTTGGTTGCTTCTTTGAGAATTTCACTGAATTTTCTTGAACGATGAGCTGAGTCTTCGAATCCTCCCGTACAGGAGATCCATTGAATAAGCAAGTCGCGACCACATCATCCTGGCCGTCAAACTCTGCACTGAACATGATGTCTTCATTCTTTCCGACCTCTACTACTTCCTCAATGCAAGATTTGAACTTCGGTTTCCCGGAAATTTTAAGATTCGTGGAGGATGTGGACTCGTCAACTTGAACCATGTATCGCCCCGCATCTTCGACATCGACGTTTTTGATCGTAAGTGAACACGACGTTCCCTCCGATGAAAGTTCGAATTTCTCTGAACCAGTAATAACCTCGCCATCTTTGGTCCATTTGACTGCTTTGGCTGGACGATTTAGGTCAACAGTAAGTATAGTAGGCTTCTCCTCTTGACCGAAAGTTTCGGCTTCTAACGGTTTCATGATGTTGGCGAGCGCATCCTTTGCAGTGACGTCCGATTTTGCACTATTTAGGAGAATTCCTTAACAAAATTTGCGTTAAACGGAATACTACCGATGATGTAAGCGAACAAATGAATTATTGTGAATGAGATCCCAAATCACATCCTTTAAATGACTCATACCCGGGGTCGGTGTAATAGTGAGCGGTTCCGATGGCAGATTAGAGCTCGATGACAATCCTGACTCGTTCAGAGCCTCCACCTTGAATTCGTAGGTTATGCCTTGACGAAGATCTTGCACGGACAGGTGAGTGGCGGAAACAAGTTCGCTGTTGACCTAAGAAGCAAATTTGTTCAGAAGTTGTAATGCCTGTTTCGAAAACAATGGGACGTCCGTAATGGGGACTACTCCACTCTACCTTTGTCCACTCTCCGGCATTCTCTCTGAGGAAAACATNGGCACATCTAAAGCAAAAACCACTGTAGTTGTTGCTTTTGTTTTAAATAATATCTGAGCATACCTTTGACTTTGACAGTGAAGGCTTTTGTGACTTCACCGAATTCGCCTGACAGCTTCACTGTGTACTCTCCAGAATCAGCCTTTGTCGGTTGCTTCTTTGAAAACTTCACTGAATTTTCATGAACGATAAGCTGAGTCTTCGAATCCTCCCGTACAGGAGATCCATTGAAAAAGCAAGTCGCGATTACATCATCCTGGCCGTCAAACTCTGCACTGAACACGATGTCTTCACTCTTTCCGACCTCTAGCACTTCCCCCGAGCATGGTTTGAACTTTGGTTTTCCAGAAATTTTCAGATCGGTGAAGGATTGGGATTCGTCAACCTGGACCATGTACCGTCCCGCATCATTGGAATCGCTGTCCTTGATCGTGAGGGAACAGGACATCCCCTCGAATGTCATTTCAAATTTCTCTGAGGCAGTGATAACATTGCCATTCTTGGTCCATATGACATCTTTCGCCGAACGGCTAAGGTCAACGGTGAGCACAACAGGCTTTTTCTCATTACCGAAAGTTTCGCGCTCCAACGGTTTTGTTATCTCGGCCAGTCCTTCCTTTACAGGGACATCAGAAATTGCATCCGTGGTAAGGAGCCCTAAAAATTATTTCGTGAAACAAACGACTCTCCCTATAAGCAATAGCGTCTCCGCTCTCTTCGCTCTTTGATGTTCCATGTGTTTAGTAAAGAAATCGTAGAAACTTTCTAACAGAAAGTTATAACAATTGGCGAAGAATGATAAGAAGGAAATGGCAGGAAATAGTTACTGGTGGCCTTTTTCCGCTCAATGTAGAGCTGACTCTGGCAAATGAGATAGTTCTTGATGCTGGATGGTCATAGATGATAATTCATTGAGACGAGGACCGATAAGGAGGCAGCAGCATATGAGAATTACAAAATTTGCTCCGTAACAAAGAAGTGAACTACTACGAATCACCTAATACTGGTCGGTCAACGGAGGATCACACTCTGGCGGATTCCCATATCAATAGCTAGAAGATTTACTGAATCTTCAACATCGTTCCTCTCAGGGTTAGAGGTGCAATTGGCAATTTCTACCTTGATTATGAAGTTCTATTAGGTCATGTGGAAAGCATCTGCCGAAAATTTCACAATAGTTCAGAGTTCCTGTGGGATTCCCATGGAACTTCCATAGAAACACTATAAAAGGACATTACTCACTTGTATGCGCATAAGTTAAAGGAGATTGCATGACATCGCAACCAGTAGACCAAATCGAGGTTCATCCTCGCTTTCTATGCTCCAAGCTGGAGAACGACATACAAGAACCTCTTAGAAGGGGCTGTAAGATGTAGCTTCGCACGCGACTCAATGAGGTTCTGCAGAGCCGGACCCAAACTAGTAAAGAAGCACAAGTTGAATCTGGGCAAACAGCTCGGTCATTGTATGATTAAATAACCAAGTAAGAGATAGTTGGACATGTTATGCGTATATGCATGGGTAGTAATCTTACATATGAACCCCGTGGAAGCTTCCAGAAAAATAAGAGAGAAATCTGAACTATTGCAAACCTTTGCCAGATACTTTATGATGCTTGCCATAAGTACCAGAAACATCAATCATTAGACCGTACGACCAGGCGAGACCTGCTTATAATAGCTTGTAATATGGTAAAATACCCACACAAATCATTTCATTGAAGGCACAGTTCATGATAATAATGGTTTCTGAGATTCCTCTTAGGGTGAATTTGAGGCCCACGCGTATACCATATCTGGCACTATCAAGTCGGAAAACGGCCTAGTCAGGGAGTTATAAAGCCTCAGAGATTGGCCCGTGTGTATCCTCAGACGAGTTTCACCGGCACTGTAGAGGCTAGATCACAAGGGAACCCATGTAGGAAGTTCAAACAAATTGTCATGACCCCTAGCGACAGTGAAAGACAGTTCTGTACAGTTCTGGCTTGATGTAGTCAGCTCTTTCTGCAATTGCAATAAGTGAAATTTCCTCCGAATACCTCTCCCATGTTATTTCCGTCATGGAAATCTCGTCCAGCCTCTATTTTCCCTACTTCTGAAGCGCCATATTTTTCTCGAAATCGGCGAATTCTCTCGCTTTCTTCACTACCAATATATAATTCCACTTTTCGAATAAAGACGGATACCTGAAAATTACCGTGAACTTGCCTTCAAATGGCTGTGCTTGATATCTTTCATGAAAGAATGAAACGATGGAATAGAATGAGAATATCAAGTGAATATCATTGACGTAACTCAAAATTGACCTAGTTGTTAAGTGGAAGAAACTAGTCAGCTAGAAGAAGTTAGTTGGATGCATGCCAACAACTACTTTGTCGAAACTTAAAATGGAACTTTGTATTGCTACAATATTGCAGAGAAATCCCGAGTTAATTAACTTGTGTGATGACGGTAACTTGAGTACTCAGTGAAGGACGATTTTTCCCTTATAGTGTGTGCCTAACTCAGACGTAAATTTACACAACA